TGGCACTAACTAAGTAGTTAACTATATTAGCATACCACGAAATTCTTTATCCATTAATTGCATATAGTTATTCATCAAGAAAATTTTCATTTATTTTATCATTAAAGTTAACATTATCAAGCCTTGATAAATGGTCAGTTATCTGATTATCAGTACCCTTTCCTATCCATTACCTAAAAATCAAATTCTTGCATTATAAAGACCCATCTAATTAATCATGTTCTTGCATCATTCTTTTTCATTAAATATTTAATAGAAAAATGATTTGTATGCAATATACATTTAGCTCCAATAAGATAAGATTTAAATTTATCAAAAGCATACACTATAACTATTGATTCCTTTATAGTAGCGATGTAATTAATTTTTGCTTCATTAAGAGTTATTCTAGCATAATATATCACTTTAAAAGTTTTATCGTATCTTTTTTCCTAATACAACCCCTATAGCATAATCACTTGCATCACACATTAATTCAAAGGATTTTCTCAGTCAGGTGAAACAATAATAGTGTGGTGATTAATTTTTCTTTTAATAAATTAAAGACATTTAGGCATTCCTCATTAAAATCAAAGTTTGTGTTTTTTTTCTCTAAAAGCTGACGTAGTGACTTAGCAATTTTTGAAAAATCTTTAATATAACGCCGATAGAACCTAAAATATCCTAAAAAACCTACCCATCTTATAGACATAAGAAGTGGTAATTCATTAATAACTTGAATTTTTGTTGGATCTACTTTCATGTCACTTTTCAGAAATCTTATGTCCTAATACAATTTCTCCTGCAACCATAAATTAACATTTTTCCAATTGAGAACAAGATTTATTTTTTTCGCAGTGTTTTAGAATTCTTGTTAAGTGATCTAAACATGAATTTAAAGAGGTTCCAAAAATTGAGAAATCAACCATAAAAAACTTCAATTCCTTTCTCAATTAAGTTAAATAAAATTGACATCATACATCTTTAAAAAGTTACAGGTGCATTGCTTAATTAAAATGACATTCTTCTAAAAGCCAAAGTCCCATATGGACTAGTAAATATTGTCTTCTCTTGATTTTTAGGAGCTATGGGTATTTGGTGGTATCGATAATATCCATCCAAAAAATAGAAATAACAATGCCCCGCGAGTCTATCCAACATTTAGTCCAGAAAAAGTAGTGGAAAATGATCTTTCCTAGTAACGAGGTTTAATTTTCTATAATCAATATAGATTCACCACCCAGTGACTTGTCTTGTAAGAATTAATTCATTCCTTTCGTTAATGATTAGAGTCACTTGCCCTTTCTTAGGAATATGTTGACCTCACTTGTGGTTGAGGTCTAGTATCTTCCTTAGAAGTCTAGGATCTAGCCATATGACTTTCTTGTTGACTATCATAGAGAACTAGTCATGGAACTCTTACCATCAAAAATTCTAAACTTTTGTTTGCTCATCTTGAAGTTCCACATCAAAGTTTGTGTCTTTTTCTAAAAGCTAACGTAGTGACTTAACAATTTTTTGAAAAATCTTTAATATAACGCCGATAGAATCTAAAATATCCTAAAAAACCTCTTACCCATCTTATAGACATAGGAATTGGTAATTCAACAATAACTTGAATTTTTGTTGGATCTACTTCCATGTCACTTTTCAGAAATCTTATGTCCTAATACAGTTTCTCCTGCAACCATAAATTAACATTTTTTCCAATTGAGAACAAGATTTGTTTTTTTTGCAGTGTTTTAGAACTCTTGTTAAGTGATCTAAACATGAATTTAAAGAGGTTCCAAAAATTGAGAAATCAACCATAATAAACTTCAATTCCTTTCTCAATTAAGTCAAAGAAAATTGACATCATACATCTTTGAAAAGTTACAGGTGCATTGCTTAATTAAAATGACATTCTTCTAAAAGCCAAAGTCCCATGTGGACTAGTAAATGTTGTCTTCTCTTGATTTTTAGGAGCTATGGGTATTTGGTGGTATCGATAATATCCATCCAAAAAATAGAAATAACAATGCCCCGCGAGTCTATCCAACATTTAGTCCAGAAAAAGTAGTGGAAAATGATCTTTCCTAGTAACGAGGTTTAATTTTCTATAATCAATATAGATTCGCCACCCAGTGACTTGTCTTGTAAGAATTAATTCATTCCTTTCGTTAATGATTAGAGTCATTTGCCCTTTCTTAGGAATATGTTGACCTCACTTGTGGTTGAGGTATAGTATTTTCCTTAGAAGTCTAGGATCTATCCATAGGACCTTCTTGTTGACTATCATAGAGAACTAGTCATGGAACTCTTACCATCAAAAATTCTAAACTTTTGTTTGCTCATCTTGAAGTTCCACATCAAAGTTTGTGTCTTTTTCTAAAAGCTAACGTAGTGACTTAACAATTTTTAAAAGTATTTAATATAACACCTGTAGAACCTAGCATGTCCTTTAAAACTCCTAACTCATCTTATTAATTTAGGAGGTGGTAATTCAATAATAACTTGAATTTTTGTTGGATGTACTCCCATTACATTTATAGAAATCTTATGTCCTAACACACTTCCTCCTGCGACCATAAATTGACATTTTTTTAATGGAGAACTAAATTTATTGAGAACAAGATTTGTTTTTTTTGCAGTGTTTTAGAACTCTTGTTAAGTGATCTAAACATGAATTTAAAGAGGTTCCAAAAATTGAGAAATCAACCATAAAAAACTTCAATTCCTTTCTCAATTAAGTCAAAGAAAATTGACATCATACATCTTTGAAAAGTTACAGGTGCATTGCTTAATTAAAATGACATTCTTCTAAAAGCCAAAGTCCCATGTGGACTAGTAAATGTTGTCTTCTCTTGATTTTTAGGAGCTATGGGTATTTGGTGGTATCGATAATATCCATCCAAAAAATAGAAATAACAATGCCCTACGAGTCTATCCAACATTTAGTCCAGAAAAAGTAGTGGAAAATGATCTTTCCTAGTAACGAGGTTTAATTTTCTATAATCAATATAGATTCGCCACCCAGTGACTTGTCTTGTAAGAATTAATTCATTCCTTTCGTTAATGATTAGAGTCATTTGCCCTTTCTTAGGAATATGTTGACCTCACTTGTGGTTGAGGTATAGTATTTTCCTTAGAAGTCTAGGATCTATCCATAGGACCTTCTTGTTGACTATCATAGAGAACTAGTCATGGAACTCTTACCATCATAAATTCTAAACTTTTGTTTGCTCATCTTGAAGTTCCACATGTTGGCTCTAACCTCTAGCACTTAGTAGGTGGAGCCAATATGGGGGAGCTCAAGAAGAGTCCCCATAAGACTGTTTGGCCTTAGGGTTAACCCTGGGTAGTGTAATCTTGGTCTTGCACACACACACACTTCCACTCTTGGCCTAAACCCTTAACCTACACATGCTTAACCTTTCCCCTTACTCTTTTGGAAACTCATGTGAATGGTCCCCCAAACCCTTAGCCCTAGGCTAGGGTTTGGTTCAGACCAATGCATGTAGAATCCAAAATGGGAGCAAATGATCCATAGTGGGAGCTCCCTTGGTCTCATGGCTCAAAAAAGGGTAATTTTATAATTAACATTCTCAATTGATCTCATCCTACCCAAATACCTAATTTAATCTTTTGCTCCCAAACTTTCTCAAAATTACCAAATTACCAATGAAACCCTAAAATTTAAAAAATTACCCAAATTACCTAATTTTGTCCAAAAATCATTTCAAAATCTTTTAAACCATTCAAATTGCCCAAAACATTTCAAAATTTTCAAAATTCCTAAAATACCGCTAAAATTGCAAAAATTACCAAAATGCCCTGGACCCAAATTTTCCCAAACGTGATTGTCATTTATTGATCCCTGAATCAGAAACTCCTATCAGTGAAGCAAGGCCAGGCTATCGGGCAGAGTGTGAAACACTATAATTTTACAATTAGCTTACTTCTTGAGAAGGTGATCCTTCGGCGATGCTCGATGTGGTTATGTGATAGCTAGTTCTTAGCCACAAATGATGAATCTCAGGGGCGTCCATGAGATAACTGGCAATGTTGAATTCCTCTCCGGCCTGAGTCAGGTTATGAAAAGAGGCAGGTCGATGTCTTCACTCGGATCATTAGACTTTACTCTTCAGTTTAGACGACCATCAACCCCAACTTACGGGAGGTGACATCAAGTCAGACAAATCTTTCAGTATTTCAATAGTGAATGCTTAGCCTTATATTGTTGGACCCTTAGCCTTCCGTTGATGCATCTTTAGTCTTCCGCCAGTGGGACCTTAGCTTTCCATTTAGGGGCCCTTGGTCTTTAATATGTGGGTCTTGGTCGTCATTTTGCAAACCCTCCTTAGTTGTTTTTCTTTATACTTTCTACTGTTGGATCTTTTGGAGATTCATGCATATACTTTTCTGATGTACATTTATAATGTACATTTATCATTATTATTAAAATGATATTATCAAGAAATCAACTTAATAGAAAATTTTGGATAAAACATTATTGACTGACTTTTAATTAAAACTATTTTGAAATCAATGAGAGTTTATATTAAACTTAATTAAAAATAAATTTAAAAATCGAAATCGAAAATTAAACTAGAATATCCTTATGAATTATTTATAGATTTGATATAGGTAAAATTTTAATTTTGATAGTAATTTTTAATGTTATAACAATCAAATTAGCCGTAACCCGTTTTAAAGATTAGAAGGAAAACAAATCGACACGTTAATTAACCATAGAGTTTAAATTTGGAAAATAAAATCCGTTGGTTGTCTAAAATAACTCTCCTACAAATTTTAGTGATAAGTTCGTCTGCTTATCAACGCACTTCATCGGACTTCTCAAAGTTAATTAATAAATCGTATTTTGTGGGATTTTAAATTGGACCGTTCTATGCTAAATACCTCTCGGATTATTTCGTAGAAGAACATCTCAAAAAGAGATATGGGGTACGACTAAGAGAAATGGATAGTAACTATATCACATATCCGATTTGAGCGCCCAAGAATGGCTAACTGTACGAGGAACGCGGACACGGTGGAATGAAAAAAATGGCGGAAATACCCAAACAATGATTTTCAAACCTAAAATATCGTGTGCAGTTCTCTCTAATTTGCTCTGAATCATAATAATTTGTTTCGTCCTTTGCGATTGTTGCTTTCTGGTTGAATGTGATCTTTGGATCCATGACTTATTTCAGGTATTTGATAGTGATGAGTGGGTTGACTGGCTGTTCTAGGGGATTTGTTTTTGTTTTTCTTTTCTTCTTTCTTGTATTTTATTTAGTTTGATTTGTGATGCAGTAATCATTCAATTTTTGTAAGAAATTTATCCTGTCTGCTGTGGGTGATAGGGGCGGATGGCACCGATTGGGATTTAGATGGCTTTGGAATATCTAGTTCTTTGTGTTTAAGACACTTGCAGAGCTCCTTGTTGTTTCTTTTTTGAGGGAATGTTGTAAAAATGGGTTCGCCAGTTAGTGGACGTCGTTTTTGAAAGTGATACTTTGTTATAACGGTCTTGTGGTTTTTTTTTACTCTGTTTTACTTTTTCTTCTACAGTTGTGAAGAATTTTGATTTTGGGAAGTCCTTTTTTTGGTGCTGGAGCGGTTGGGGATTCTGGTAGCATGTCTTCATTGAACAGGGAAATAGTTTTCCTCCTATTACAGTTTTTGGACGAGGAAAAGTTTAAGGAAACCGTCCATAAGTAAGTTTTTTACCCGCTTGTTCGCTCCAGTGCCTATGAAATTGTGCACATTCTGCCTCCGAATCTTTGATTTATTTCAATTGTGGACATATTTTCCGGTTTTAGGTTGGAGCAAGAGTCAGGATTTTATTTCAATATGAAACATTTTGAGGACCAAGTTCTAGCCGGTGAGTGGGATGAAGTGGAGCGGTATCTAAGTGGGTTTACTAAGTTTGATGAAAATCAGTACTCCATGAAAGTTTTCTTTGAGATAAGGAAGCAGAAGTATTTAGAAGCACTTGATAGGTTTGGTTTTATTATGGGTGGTTCATATGTTTCTCTGATTCTCTGGATCTTAACTTTTGAAGGTTTTATTTGATGCAATCTGCAGTAATGATAGAACTAAAGCTTTAGATATACTGGTGAAAGATCTTAAGCCCTTTGCAGCAGTCAGTGAGGAAGCTTTCAAGGAGATTACCCAGCTACTTACCCTTGAGAATTTCAGGTGTTTTGGTTTTTTAGCCCTCTCTTGTCATTTTTTTTTCAAGTCAAGTTAGTATTTCACTGATTTTGATATATGCTCTGTTTGATTATTACTAGTTATTTTTTGTGGAAGATTTGAACCCCTGGCATATATATTGGAGACAGTCAGATTAAGGGTTTATACACCTTTATCTTTACATTTCTTTTTCTTCTATAGGCAAAATGAGCAACTTTCGATGTATGGTGATGCAAAGTCTGCACGTAATATTCTGCTTAATGAGCTTAAGAAGCTAATTGAAGCTAACCCATCATTTCGTGACAAGCTGACCTTTCCAACCTTTAAGGCTTCTAGACTAAGAAACATCATCAATCAAAGGTATCTAATTTCTATATACATGTGCAATCTGCGGGAATGAGCAGTCTTGTATTTATCAAACTCATTGATGATTTTGATATTCATTCCTAGTGCCTCCGAAGCTACATAAACTAGATTGTATTTTGGTTTTGCATCTTTGCATATATATCCTGTATATGAATGTACTTGAATCGAATCTCTTAAACCTTGAATATGTTTGCCAAAAATATTGATATTTACTCTTTTCATAAACTTTCTTATAAAAACAATAGCAATTCTTGTGTCACCCATAATACAATTCTATGCTGATGATAGGAAAAATGATTTGAATTATTTGAGTGTTTCATTGAGCTATTGCTCTGTTATTAATACAACAGGATTCTATACTATAATTGAAATTTTTATGCATCAAGCTACTTATTAAACTGGAGATCATAGAAGATATTCTACAGCTTGCACATGTTTATTTCCCATGAAATTGCAAGGGATTTTCGCCCCTTGATGCCCATGGATTGTCAATGATGGATGGAAAGGTGGATGTTTAACTTCACAATCTCATAGATTGTCAAGCTAGCCGTTGGAACTGCCAATTTTCCACATTCTATGGATTATATATTTTCCATCTTTAACTTGGAGGTGGTGTTCTGAAATGAGGAGTTTAGTAATCCCTTGTAATGTCCACATATTAGCCAACTTTTTGTGTTTAGACATATTTGGCATAATGTCGATTGATTTTTATCTGTTGTTTAGTCATGTTAGACTAGGATAGATGTGATTTTGATGCCTGTTTCTTTGTTAGTTTAATTTCATGGTTTGTCTCAGTTTTGTTTATGAACCATCTAATGCAATTTTGATTCATAATAATTCACAGATTTCTTGGATCATTGCTCAAAATTTAGCTTTAATGCTAGAGCTGATAATCCCCCAAATGATTAAATTATCAGAAAATGTTACAATTAGTAGTAGAACTATTTGCAAGGGATCCTACCAACACCAAAATTGGCTTCTAAATTGAGCGTTCTTTTTCTATTAAATAATATTTCTTTTCTTGGTGTTTTTTGATGTGTTTAAGAGTCTTATGTGCTTTGTGGATCCATTTATCTAGGATTGTATATAAATTGGCATGGAATACTTATACTATAGATTATATTGAGTCTTATGTGGGCAAGATAGATAAGTTTCTTGATCAATTTTTGACAAAAAAATTTTCTTGGAGCCAAAGTGTAAGCGTATGGCACAACAACCACCATTTTAGATATGACACCGTTATAAAAATATTATGAACAAAAATATACAATAAATAGAAAGGATTATTAAATTTAAAGATAAAATTGACAATATGATAATAAAATTAACATAAATAATATTGAAATTCAAGTGCTTGATATCTCAATTACTTTTTAATGAAGTTATTTTGATAAACTTTTTGTTGAAGTTTCTGAAAATACGATCGACCTTAGTGATTTTATATTGTTAATAATACTAAAACGTTTCATTTTTATCATCCCATTAGTAAAAAGAGGTTGAGGAGAATTTAAAGAAAGCCAAGGGTGGACATTTTGTAGGTTCTGATGATATCTCAATTGAAGTGTGGAAATATTTAGGAGATTTGGGAGTTTCTTGGCTTACTAAGCTCTTTAATATTATTTCAATAACTAAAAATATGTTTGAGGAGTGGAGGAAGAGTATTTTGGCCCCACTTTTAAGAATAAAGTGGATGCACAAGAGTGTGCAAATTATAGAGGAATTAAGTTGACGTGTCATACTTTAAAATTATGGAAGAGAGTAATTGAACATAGGCTAACACGTATGATAAAAATTTCTCATAATCAATTTGGATTTCTGTCTGGCAGGTCTACTGTGGAAGCTATACATTTATTGAGATTTGATGGAGAAGTTCAGAGTTAATAAAGAGGATCTACATCTGATTAGGAGTGTAGATGTTTCAGATTCAACTTAAGAAAGACATATGTTGACTTAGGAAGACTTGGGCTTATTTTATAAAAAATGATCTTAATTTATTAAGATTAAATTAAAATATGGCTAAATAGGATGCAATAAAGAAAAATGATTCATGTAGCCGACCCCACTTGGTGGGATTAAGACTTTTTTTGTTGTTGTTTTTGATATCTAAATTACTTCAAATAAAAAATATTATATATCTTTTTTTGCAAATGTAATGTTTCAGAAATGATTAAACTAGGAATTATTAATATCATCATAAGTAAAGAAAAATGTTTCTTTTATAAACATCATTATAATCTTGTAAAGCATAATCTTTTCATCATACTCATCACATGAGAGCGAAGGTCAGAAGAGAACGAACAACACAATAATTCATATTTGGATCGCACAAGGTAATTTTTGTTATCATGAGAATCACTCTAACATGTTTTTGATACCAAAACACAATCTCAAGATCTAGAACAAGTAATATAAACAAAATTGAACAAAAAATCAGACATAAATCCCTTAATGAAAATAATGGGTTGTAAGTCTGGGATGTTTTTGTACTTTAAAACTCTTATGTATAGTCTGCAACTCATAACTCCTGTTAAGTCTTTTGGTTCAGTCATATTATATTTATTCATTTTTATCGAGTGACATAAATTTGCATGATGAATTCTATAATATCTAAAATTTCATCCATAAAAAATCCTAATATAAGAATTTTCTAGTTAAATGAACTTCCTCTTAATGAGGAATTATTTAATCATTGGACATTTCCAAAAATAATAATAAAAAAACAATTGTGGCTTATAGGATTAAAATTTGATTTTAAAGGTAAACTGTATGTTAAAATAATAGGCAATCTATGACAAAAAATGGAGCAAAATAGATCATATAAATCTTATTGAAAGAAGTTTTAAGTAATTATTTTCAAAATTTCAACTGTATTCACATAGGATTAGTCCAAATTGTATTTAAACTCCTAACACTTAGAGGTAGGGTTATACGAACAACACGCCAATTCAATTCAAACTTGACTCAAAACATTCTGGTTAGGTTGACCATTTTGTTTGGGATCGAGTTATGAAACCTAATTCGTTTAATTTTTTGGTTCAAATTCGAGTGGACATGTCAACTTGAAATTGAGCCGTCGGCTAAAATTGACCCAAATAATTGTTATGCTTAACATGTGTTTTACAAGTTGGCTTGATGTTGGCAGGTTGGACGTGGTTTCAAATTATTTTTTCTGACCCATTAATATTTGGTTTGGGTTCAGGTCAAGCACTTTCGGCTTGTGTCAATTTTAGGTTAGGCCCGAATCCGACACGCAGTCACTATTTGACATTCATACTTAGAGGATTAAATATTTTGATATCAGCATGTCTTCGTGATGTAGATGCCTTAATTGTGTGCAACATGTCATGGGAGTCATGAAAATCAGTTTTATGGAATGGACTGTTTATTTTAACACTTCTCTTATTGGTGGTAATCTTGGTAAATCATCAAGAAAAACTTTTAAATACTCTATTGTCGAAATATTATTCAATTTCACTTAGTAGTTTCATTCACGTGGGCTAGAAAATCTTGACTTCCATTGTTTAATACTTTAAAGGCTTTGAAATATGTGATTATCATCAAAGCTTATTCTCTACAACAACAACAACTACAACAACAACAAACTTTTATCCTACTGAGTGGAGTCGACTACAAGAATCCTTCATCTCCATTGCATCCCATTGAGTGTCATATTTTCATTTAGTTCTAATAGATTAAGAACATTTTTTATACAATTAGCCCAAGTCTTTTTGGGTTTACCTCTGCCTTTCTTAACATAAGTAGAATCTAAAACATCTTCTCTCCTAACAAGATCATCAGATAGTCGACGTTTAATGTGCCGAACCTCTAAGCCGTCTCTCTCTAATCTTATCTGCTATTGGAGTTAAATCAACCATATCATAGATATATTAATTTCGTTTTTTCTGTAAGTGTCAAGTCAGTCATCCACCTAAGCATTCTCATCTCCGCAACACTTAACCCTATCATAATATATTAATTTTGTTTTTTTCTGTAAGTGTCAAGTCAGTCATCAACCTAAGCATTCTCATCTCAGCAACACTTAACTTTATTTTATGTTTCTCTTTCAAAGGTCAACATTCTGATTCATAGAGCATTACAGTTCTCACCACCGTCTTATAAAATTTTCCTTTCAGTCTAAGCGATACATTTCTATCACACATTAGTTCGATGTATTCCTTCACTTCAACCGACCAACTTAAATTCTACTAATAACATCCTCATTTATATCACCATCACTCTGAATAATATATCCGAGATATCTAAAATGATCACACCTTTTAATGATTTGATCACTCATTTTTACAACTCTGTCACTAGAGATACTACTACAAAAATTGCACTTCATATATTCAGCTTTATATCTACTCATACGAAGGCCCTTGACATGTAGACCTCTATAAGTCCAGTTTTTCCTGAACTCTTTCTTTATTATTAACCACAAGAAAGATATTATCAGTAAAAGGGATACATCATGGTACATCCTCCAATAAAATTTCAGTAAGAGCATCAATAACAAAAGCAAAAGATATGTGCTTAAAGCAGATCCCTGAATAAATCCAATTGAAATAAAAAAATGCTTGGTAAATCCTCATTCTGCTTGAACAGATGTAATAACTATAGTATACATATCTTTAATGATCTGAAAATAAGTCTTATCAATACCTTTCTTTAGGTCGCTTATTCTTTGGTTATTCTCGTTCCAAATTGCTCGCATTCAACATTTGCGACTTGCACAACATCGAGAAAACCTCTTCTCGTATTCAACATTTGCGACTTGCACAACATCGAAAAAACCTCTTCTCAAGTGTAAATCTATGATAAATAAGTGGAAATAATATGTAAACTATTGGGAAAAACACATTTAAAATCATGTAAAATTGATGTATGTTAATACCCACCCCCAAACTTAACTCATTACTTGTCCTCAAGTAATCGCATAGCTTAGTTGGGATCCTTTGAAATCTATATATGCTCTTGTTGGTTTCTGACTATCC